TTTTCTTAAATTCACGGCGGAGCCAACCCCTTTCTCACGTTTTGGATCTGTCCTCCCCGTCATGGCCCTCTAAGGCCTAATGAACTACAACGGGCTTACATACGCGATCGTTTATAGTCCAACACGCAAAGTTCTGTAACGGGCTTACGTACGCGATTGTTTCCAGAACTATCCTATACTCTAAAACAATACTTTTTAATCTTTAACTTCATTTAACTACCAAACAATTTCCACACATCAAACAATCTTTACTAACAATCAGCAAGCATCAAACATTCCTAGACTTAGCACATATAACCAACAACATCACATTTCATTCCTAGACTAATATGTAAGAACATCTAGTATTAACTAGTATTAAAGTAATCTAGACAACACCCTCACCTTAGCCTTTATGGATAGATTGACATGGAAGAATGAACATGGAAGAATGAGCTACTGCGAATCTGCGATTAGGAACCCATGTTTAACATTCCATTATTAAACTTCCTAAAATATTTATTCAGTTCGGTCAAATTATACCAGTCAGAAGAAAACAACTATAACTTCTTACTCGTACCTCAGATCAAGACAAACTTGGTGCCTCTAGAAAGCCATGACTCGGAGCTTTCCAATGATATCCATATCGTCTTCTGAGTCCTTTCAGAACGACAGGAAATAAGCTCACAAATTCTCTAATCGGATATGAAAATAAGAATTCTAGTTTTAGAAACAATGATGTTTCTCAATATTGAAATACGAATTACGAGCGGATCATACCTGGTAATTTAGAACCAAAAGCTTCTACAAAAACTAGAATTTGTGATCTTTCTAACGATGCCCATATCAACATCTAGTTCTTCTAGACTTGGCCGAAAAACGTATGCGAAGTCAGCTAGTCGCATACTCACTCTGTACAGATCAGTTCAAGTAAAACATCCATAACATTTATTCCATAATACCGAATGACAAATTTCTTTCAAATATTACTAGATCAGAGAGTTAAGAATCTGCTTACCAAATATAAGCTTCATCCGATCATTGACGAAATTGCAGCGTAAATTCTCCTCTGACTGGTCGGAAACTCTCACAGCAAATAACAAATACGAGAAAATATCCATAACTTTCATATCACAACTTTCAATGATAAACCGCTTTCTGCCTTGGGTAAATAAGAGAGTCAGGAAAGGCCTTACCAATATTCATATCGATCCGAATAGATTTGATCCTTGGTTTCTATTCCTCACCGAAACTGGTCAAATCTTCGGTTGTTCAAGAATAAGACATATCGGGACAGTTGGAAAGAACAGGCCATAACTTTCACCACAAAACTTGGATCGAGACGTTATTAGATTTTATGGAAAGCTGAGACTCGGACCTTTTCACAGATTTGTATATCGTCGCACAGTTCGTGACGGTTCGTCGGGAAATCGTCTCTCAACCCGGCGGTAAAGTTCAGTTCCAAAGGCAGCTAGGGTTTACAAGGTGAAAAGTAAAACGGTCAGGGCTTCGCCGCAGCTGCACTCTTGGTCTTTAAGTCTTACATCCTCTCCCTTTATATAGTGGATGATTAGGGTTTTCGATGGGTTAATCGGGCTTGATGGGCTCGTTTAGCGTTGAAGAGGAAACGTGATATAAGCCCAATCCATTTAAATCCCTTTTAAATAAAAAGTTTCATTTTTCATGTTCGATCCAAAAACATTTCGGCACAAAAACTAAAAATCATCGGGACACGGTCGTGACATTTTACCTTGGAATGGGCTTATACTAAGAAAGACTTATTAGGGGCTAATTTGCTATTAATGGGCTTAGGGTTACTTAAAGCCCAATTTTATTGGCTCATTAAAAGTGGCAATAACTTCCAAGTTCCAAGCATCCGATTTTTGCGTTACAAAAAAATTATGGAATCTTATCACTCTGAAAATTCAAAAAACAAAAATCTCTCTGTTTTTTATTTGTTAACTAGAAAATATCTTTTTAAAAATCGACCAATTAACTTGGGTAATTGGGCGTAACGGATAATTATAATGACGGAAGTAAATGCTTAAGCTTAACATTTAACACTGGAATGTAATTAATCAAACCACGATCGATTGTGATAGTTAATAACAAAAAAATTAACGAACGAAAAACTCCTCATCTCCCTCCTTTTCTTCCACTATATATAACCGTACAATCACACGCACAACCTCACTAATCCCAACAACAAAACACAACAAAAATTCAAGAAATGGCCACTAGTACAACTTCAAAGCTTTTTTTCCTCACATTTCTAACGATTTCATATCTCATATCGACCGTCCATGTCATCACCGTGGCCCATGCAAGAACCCTCCAGATCACCACGGTGGCTAAAGATCACTCCGGCGCCGGAAACCTAATGGATTGTTGGAACGCGGGGTTGGAGCTGAAATCATGCACCAACGAGATCGTCGAGTTCTTCCTTAGCCGTACCGGTACGGCGGTTTCTTTAGGTGGAATAGACAAAGATTGTTGTGGAGCCATTGGGTTGATTGTGAAAGATTGCTGGTCCGTTATGTTTACTTCTTTAGGGCTTACCAATATGGAAGGGAATTTTCTTAGAGGGTATTGTGAGTTTCAGGCGGAGAAACCGGAATTGTCTCCTTCTCCGGCGCCGGAAACTTTGGCTTTGTCTCCGGTCGAAATTACGTACCCTGGACTTAATTAATTCTAGAGTTCCTTTTTTATCTATATGTCACTCTTTCGGTGTTCTTAGCATTTGGGTGTTAAAAAAAAAAAACCTTATTTTAGATGTTCTAATAAAAGAAGAAAAAAAAAATTGTTGTTTTGTAATATTGTTCAATGCAAAATATAATTGATCTCTATAGTGAAAAAAAAAATTGATCTCTATAATTAGATTGAGTTA